GTCAAATAAATAAATAAAAAATAAAAAGAAAGCTCTTGGAAGTAATTTTCAAAGGAGAAAAAAAATGTTAAGTTAAAAGACTGTAGAAGTAGTGGTTTTGCTTCTTTTTAAAGACACCACATGGGGATCGTGATTCTTCTTCCTTGATGTGGAAACTGAAGGAGCCCCTGCCCCCCACCCCCCACTTGCAGAATTTCCTGGATGGCAAATACTCACTCCTGTTCCTGCTGTGCCCTTCCTGAATGTTTCAGCTCTGGGCTCTTTGTGTAGCAGCCTTGATCTGAGAATGTTTGAGCAGCGTGCCTCCTGCCTGCTCAGATAGCATTTATTAACCTCAACTTGAACTCATTCCGTTTGGTCTTCTCCCTTCAAACCAGGGGCTCAACCAAATGGTAAAAAATCAACATGTCTTTGGATTTGAATTAATGAGGTATAAGAGTTGTGGTTGCTTTAGAAAGAATTAAGCAAGGGTGGCCAGTTTTGGCAGCGGAAAGAAGGGTCTCCTCATCTTGTACTTGGAATGGCCATGAAGTGACCTGGGCTGGGTGCGGCTGTCCAGTCTTGGATTCTTCTACCAGAGGTAGCTCCACCCCACCCCCACATCCCAGAGGAGAAGCTGAGGCCCACTGAAGGCAGAAGGAAGAGTGGCCCAGGTCATGTTTCTGGTCTGTGGCAGAGGGTCTTACAACTAGGGACCCTCATCTCCATCAGGGCTTTCCTGGCCGGGGATGAGGAGTGGTGAGAGGGATTTTAACAGAAATGAAAAACGGAGAAGCGTTCTGAGTGATGTCACCAGGCTCCAGTAGTCCCATCCGTTGGTTGGTTGACGATCTGACACCAAGGATGTGGAAGAGGGAATTGGATTCCAGGTGGGGATGGAACCCCAAAGGCTCTCCCTCCCCTAGGTCCCAAGACACTGTAACTGGTTAATTCCTTACAATCCCAGGGTATATGACAGAGGAGAAATGAGGGCTTGAGCCAAGGGCCCCTTCCACGCGGGACCCAGGCAAAGGGCCAGCCCTCTTTGGCCTCGATTGAGCCGCGATAGCGCCCTTAGTGCCGGGTCGGGTTCCGGGCCATGCCCCCACATTTTAAGAGGCTGAGCTGAGCTTTCTGCCGCCCGCCGGCCTTCACGGAGACACTGAGAGCTCGCCTTTGTCTAGCCCGCTGGGCGGGAGGAGAGCGCTAATCCCTGCTCTGACCGGGCTGGAGGAGGTGCGTCCCATCCTCCGGGGACTGTCTGGTAGCCTCGCGCGGCGCCCTTCGCTCTTGGAGCGGGGCCCTGAGGGACGGAGGCGACCACCCCCGGCGGGTCGGGAGGAGGCTGGAGGAATGAGGACGCGGTGCGCCGCGCCCCTGCCGCGCTCCGGCTGACTGGGCGCTCGGCTCCTCTCCGCTCGGAGCCCGTGGGCTGGCCGCTGTCCGCGGTGCTGAAGGGGCAGCCTCGGCGGGGAGGCGGGCCCGGGGCCGCCGGGCAGCACACACCCAATCCGGGGACCGCCCTCCTTCTCCCGGGCTTGGCGCGGCGGTGGCAGCCGGCACTGCACCGAGATGGACTGAGAGCGCGGCGGCGGGAAGGCAGCGGCGGCGGCGGCAGCTGCAAGAGCCCCCGCAGCCTCGGGGCCAGACCCACTTCCACACCCGGGAGCCCTTTCCTGGGGTGAGTTGGGGCAGGCGGAGCAAGCATGGGGCGGGCGGGTCCCGAGGCACGGGATCTCTTGGGCTTTTAAATTTTCCTTACCCATTGTAAATTTCTTCCAGCCCTGATCTTGAGCAGCCTACAGGACTGAGAGCTCAGATCTCTGCCCTGGTTCTGACCCAGTCCTGGGTTAGAGGGCAGGCCCCTCTGCCCTCACGAGCCAGGGGACAAAGGGTTTAGCTAGAAGTCTAAGGGCAGTCACTAAGCATGTCTTCTTCACCAGCCTGGGTGCTGCCCACCATATGACACTGAGAAGGGATGTTTGCCCAGGTTGGTGTCACAAGGGCAATACTCTCCCCTCTCTGTGCAGGGGACTGGCCCATGTAGACTAGCCACTGGAATTCAGCCCAGACAGAGGCCAGCCATCTTTTAGCAGGGAAGGTAGGCTTGAGTCTTCCCTAGGGGCTGCAAGCAAGAGGTAAAGCCCTCTCCCCGCCTTAATCCAGTCTCCTTGGGCACCTGAGCTGCCACTGCTGGGCTTCAAGGGCAAGGGTCACTTGAGTGCACCTGGCTGTTGGGAGTGAGCTGGACTGAGGCAGAAGAGCTTTGGAGTGGATACTGGGCAGGCATTCCCTGCTACTGTGTGTGTGTGTGTGTGTGTGTGTGTGTGTTTCCCAGCACGCAAAGGGGATTTTAAACTCCAGTGGTGCCTGTCACAGGAAAAGCCCTTCTCCAGATGGCCTGTGCCTCTGAGTAAGCAGTTTGGGGTCACGCTGGGCAACTACCCAGCCAGGAGGCTTGGGCTTCCTCGGTCCTTAAAGCTGCCCCCCTCCTGCCTTGAGCCATCCACTGAAGGGGGAGATGTGTTTAAATTTGATGGGTCACCTCTGCCTTCGATCCCACCAGCATTCGATTCCCATCTCCATCACCTGGCAAGGTCAGACAGATAGACCTCTTGACTTCTAGAACCTGATGGGTAGGCTAATGGGGGGCTCTACTGCCTCGACAAAGGACTTTTGGTGTGTTGGGGAGGTGAAGGGATGGAAGGAAGTGGGGTGGAGTTGGAGGGACCATCCTCCAGGGCCCTGGAGAGGTCTAGATTCCAAACCTTGTAAAGTGTCTGTTGTAACCAGGTGGATGTAAATGAATATTCTGAATCTGGACAGGCTCATGCTGGAGGACTGGGGTCTGTGTTTTGTTCTGACTGTCTAGCCTAAGCTATGTGCTTCAGAAATGACTCTGGTGGGCAGCTTCCTTGGATCATCGGATGCCTGGTGGTGGTGGTGCCAACGAAATGAAAGAGAGGTGGAAAAGACGTGTGAGATGATGTGCTGGTTTTAGGGTCAGGGTGAGCTGCAATGGTGCTGCAGTGCTGATGGAAATGTATGCCAAGAGTGTGGTAGCATTCCTGGGTACCATTTGGTACCAGGTACCATTTATCGCTGGCCAGTGTTCTGTAGAGAGGAAAGTCATACTGGGGAAAGTATAATAACTGCATATCTAACATATACTTGATTTACATTATTCTTGATCACTTTTTTCCTACCCCAAAGCATTTTTGTTTTGAGTAGGTAAGTTTTGACCGACCATGTAAACGCTTTGTATTTTGGCCAGATGAATAAACCTCTTTAGAGAGTAGTTGTCAGGAAGGATGGCTGACTCATAACTGTACTTTGACAGCATTCTTGCTGACTTGGTTCATAAAAATATGAAGTCCAAAATGCATAAAATGCAGGCTGGCTAAGCAGCAGGCCATTGCTTTTGCTTTGGAAAAATGATGTATTTGAGCTTTGCATGTTGTTTGTTTTGAAAATACATTTATAGGCCCCAAGTTTTCTGTAACTAGATCAAGTTGGGGTATATATATATTTTTAGCCTGCTCTACACCTGTAATGCAATCAGGCTACCTATTTTTACTCACAATATGAGCAACTTAAAACCTCCTCAATAATTAAGGTGGGCTCAGGTTCTCCTCTGTAACTGAGAAAGATAACATTTGAGGGTTGTCTAGGTGATACACAGTTCTAGATCCAGCTCACAGTCTCTGTTCAGAAGTCTTGCACTTGGTGGGGCACCTGAGTGGCTCAGTCACTAAGCGTCTGCCTTCAGCTCAGGTCATGGTCCCAGGGTCCTGGGATCGGGCCCCACGTCGGGCTCCCTGCTCTGCGGGAAGCCTGCTTCTTCCTCTCCCACTCCCCCTGCTTGTGTTCCCTCTCCCGCTGTGTCTCTCTCTGTCAAATAAATAAAATCTTAAAAAAAAAAAGAAGTCTTGCACTTGGTTATATCACATGCAAGCCTTCATCTATGTACAATTATAAAATGTACATGAAAAATATGAACAGAACTTTTCTGACTGGATTTCTCAAGGCCACGGCAGAAAATAAAGATATAGTGATAAATATATGGCAATAGAACAAGTTTCATTTTGGTGAAAGTTATTCATCTTAGGTTCCTGGTAGAGTGCTGTTAGGGATGATGGTAATAGCTGTGGTGTGTAAAGGAGTGAAAAAATGCCTCGCTTTGTAGATTGAGAGACCCCAGTTAAAATTCGCATTTCACCTCTTATTAACTATATGCCATGATTTAGCCTCTCTGAGCCTCAGGGTTTTTTTTTTTATTATTATTAGATGTATTTATTTGAAAGAGAGAGAGAGAGCGGAGGGGGGGGCAGAGGGAGAGAAGCAGACTCCCTGCTGAGCGCGGAGCCCTTTGCAGGGCTTCATCTCACCACCCTGAGGTCATGACCTGATCCGAAATCAAGAGTTGGACGCTTAGCTGACTGAGCCACCCAGGTACCCCCTGAGCCTCAATTTGTAAGATAGAGAAAGTAACAGCTGCCTGATATGTAAACTTAGCACAGGATTGTGGGGATTCAGTGTTATCCTTGATACCTCTTGCCATAGTGCACTGCCACTTGTTATTAGAAGAATCTGAGCATATCAGGACAAAAATCCCCACACATCAGTGTTTATACTGAAACCATGCCGGTGGTTTGCTTTGGGGTAGCCCGGTCCTGCTGGAGGTAATGTTCCCAAGGCGGAGGTTGTCTTTGGGTCCTCTGTCATCCAGGGATCTTGGCTGGCCAGCAGTGGAGCTTGGGCAAAAGGACAAGGGGAGTATTCCCTCCAGGAAGAAGGGACCTACATGCCAAGGGCCATGAGAAACCCCTTCCAGGAAAGGCTATATGGCAGGGGACGTTTTCTAGTGGGGGGAGGTTGCTGCTGTCCCTCCTGAGGTTCCCACTCTCTAATACTGGGTTGTCCTTCCACAATGTATGTCTTCTCTTCCTGCTTATGTCCCCCATTCCCTGTGGTAATAGCTAACGCTGGACGGGCTTTCCTGTAGTAACTCAGTCCTCATAACAACCCTGGGAAATAGAACCATTACCACACCCTCTGATGTGCATGAGGAAACTGAGGCTCAGAGGTTAGATCACAGGTGCCTAAGGTCTGACTGTGGCACCTGCCTGGCTGGCCTGAGGAGGGGGCCTCACAGATGAGCTGATGGCACAGAAGCGGGGAGTGACAAACCCACAGTCACCTTGATCTCCAGGCGCACAATCCAGGGCTCCCTTCTCCCACTGAGGCGATAGCACTGGTTTCTGGGTGGCTAGAGGAAGAAGAATAAGCAGGGGTTAGGATCAGCTGTACAGAAAGAATCATGACTTGGAGGAGTTAGTGTCTGAGACCTGCCGTTTCAGGGTTGCCAGATCTTCCCATCCTTGCCCGGGTATGAGGCTTGCGGGTATTCGGGCAGCAGGGACAGCAGCTGCAGCGGTAGGCAGAGCTGGAAGGTAGAGGGGCCCTTTGGAAATCAATGAGGTCAGCCTCTCCTGATATGAAGAGCCTGAGGCCCAGAGAGGGAATGAATCACCCATGAAGGTAGGGGGAGTGGAGAGAAGGGTCTTTATTCCATCCCCCAAGGCGAGAGCCTTTCCCCTAATGCTGTGCCTCAGCGGCGCCTCTCGGGAAAGTCTGGGGTGGTTGGAAGGTGCTGGTGGCTCTGTCAGAAAGGGCATCCTAAGTCCCAGGACCTCTGCTGACCGCAGAGATGCCCCCGAGGTGGACAGCTCCCTGTGCCCCTGGCTCTCTTGCCTGGGAACCCGCTCCATCTGGCCTCTGCTGGCACACACCGAAGCCCTTTGCAGACTGCATTGATTTCCATTTCCCCGAGGTGAAGAGGTAATTTAAAGGTGATTCAGTTGAGTTTCTAGTTCCCTTGGCTTGAGACCTTTCTTCCAAAATGCCCGCTGCTAACAGCTTGGGTACCAGGCATTGATAGAAAAAGACGTGTTAGTTGCCCATAAACTTGAATTATTTACAAAGTATGTGAACTCTATAGCTGCTTTGCACACACGCCCCACTTCAGGGGTTACTTAATGAGTGCACCCGTGAGCTGGCTTTTTAAATTGAATGGCATTTCATGAGACTAAACTGATTGCCGCTCCTGCAGGCATGCTGCTCTCCCTGGGCTGCCATTTTCAGTCACTGGCTCCTGAACCCCAGCCCCTGCAAGCTTCAACTCCTTCCTCTCCTTGCTGCCTGAGGTCATGCCCTGTCCATTCTATCACATTTTCTCTGGATTCTCTCCTTGCCCTGCTGCCACTGCCCTCATTATTGGTAGTGACTCCCTGCCCTGGGTGGCTCCTTTTAGACTTGCCCCTCTATGCCTCGGGCAGATTCATCTTTCAGGAACACTGGTTCTGCTCTTGTCACTGCTTTCCTGATGAACCTTCCCTGGTTCCCCACTGCCCTGGCCCCCTACTGCCTCCACGGTACCAGGGCAGAAGCCTCAGCCCAGGCTGAAAAGCCTTTCTTCAGGCTGACCCAGCTCCCCACAGAGCCAAGGCCTCTTGTGCAGCCCGGCTCTCCCTCATCTCTCATGCAGTGTTCCTCCTTCCTCCTGGACATGTCCCTTCCCTCCCCCACCTCCTCCAGGCCCAGCTGCAGAGCTGCCTCCTTCAAGATGCCTTCCTCCTCTGACTTTTCCTCCCCTGCCTAGACCCAGAGCACCCTGGCTCA